AACACTATGCCAGTCTACAACAAGCGTCGCCTAAATATAATAATTAGCACGTTGAAATAGGCTAGTAAATAAGTTTAACTGGGTTCGTAAATAATGTTGTCCTCAAAATATTGTGGCTGAGACATGAGCCGATTAAACGTAGAAATAAGAAACCTAGAAATATAGTATAAACGCTGAATAGTACTCCAGCGTCGCGACATGCCGACGTTGGTACGAGTAGGTTAGTCTACAAACGTCGCCTAAAGTAATTGATTTTACGCGGCAGAACGAAAGAAGGAAACTCCGCTTTTCAGTTTTCTCAGGCGATTGATTTTTGACAAACAATGACCTTTCAGAGGTCAAATTGCTGTCAAGAATATGAATTGGCTGCTTCGCAGCAATAAACAGTTAAATTATACAGTAGTCCGGTCTCCCAAGATTAATTACCAAAAAATTATAATGTCCTGTTTCAATATCAAATAAAAACTTCCTAAAAGTGTTTTGCTATTTTTCATGTTCCAAATCCACATCAGACGTACCGTTTAAATAGTACAGTAGTATGAAATCAGCACTAACAACAGAGGGCGCTATATACAAATCTGGACATTATGTCTCCAAATAGGAGTCAATGAAAATTTCTATCAACAAAGTTATTCTAGTTTATAAGAATATAAAATTGAACTACCTAATAAATTGCAATAAAGTAATTGGAGCAGAATTATGGGCTGCTGCTCTACCTAACTGAGCACAACCACAATGGCTGTTGAGCCTAATATTTTCTTTGCTAGAGTACGTCAACTATCAAGTATGAATAAATTATAGAAGGATATGTAATTACAGCTTCTATAAAAATTGATTCGGTTTATTAGTTACGTGATTGTATGTGAAAAATTCTGACTGTATAATTTTCGTTTATTATCAAATCCAAATGCATGCACAGCAGTGTGGAGCAGAGATTTCCATTCAGGTTCCTAACGTTTTGGTCAGGAGTTGTAACTTCGTTAAATGGCAAAAATTTACCACTCAAATATATCAAAACATAGTGATGTACGCAGAAGCTAAACGATTTAACAGTGGTGCTTAAGATTAAAGTTTAGAAATGTTTAACAATAGGCACAGGTACATGGAATTTAAATAACAAATTTAGCTTCTTTTGCAGTTCCCTGTACTTCCCTTCTCCCTCCTTTCAGTACAATTCTAACTCTGAAATATTTATTTTATAATTTTTTTAAAATCTATTTTATGAAAATTTGGGAAGGCCAGATAGCCACATAGTTGCCTCCCCCTTAACTAAACTTAACCTGAAGACATGCATCAAGCCAAAAAGTTAAAAAAACAACATGTAATCAAGACAGCAAAGGGTTTAATTTTTTAAGGTATTAAATTAAATTATGTTTAAATGTGAATACAGTATATTTTTTTAGACTACCACCGATTGTGGTAGTCTATTCAAGAGTAAAATAACGGAAGGTTAAAATGACGATTTAAAGGACAGGTTGTGTCTAAATGGAACAGTAAAGGTATCAAAATCACCATCTAGGCCTAAGATACCAGGAAGAATATAATGAATTAAGCTATCAAAAAACAAAAAAAAAGTTAATAATTTTAAGTAGGAACAATGATCTTTTAAACATGATTCTTTCCAAGATTTACATGTAATTTCCTGGGCAAATTTTTGCACACGTTCAAGTCTACAAATATGAATATCATAACAAGGATCAAATAACTGGCATGCATATTCAAGACGAAAACAGATAAGTGTAACGTATATTTTAATGTATGAGAATCGCAGACAGTGTAGAACTGTCTCTAGATAAAATCCAATATGTGATGTCATGATTCCACAGCTGTTCTAAAGAGTACAATTCTAGCCCTGAACTGTTGTCTGTGATAACAGGATTGTGTATGGGAGAATGTAGTCTAAGTCACTTATTAATACTGTACATAATATTCTAGATTCTAGATCAATTAATCAAAAACTCAAAAATATTGAAGTCATAAATGCTATAGTTAGTTTTCCTATTGATGTGGCATAATTTCTACAACTGGTATACACCAGTTAGTAATGACAGATAGATTCTCCATGTACTGTATATAACATAAAAGCTCAAAAAATAACTTGAATTATTATTAAAATGAAAATTCACAAAAAAAAGGTCTCCAAGAGAAAGATCAATGAAAAGTCTAATGACTGACATCATGCTAACAATTATATAAGTCAAGATATTTCATTCTTGAATTGTAATTTCTTTAATGTGATAGAAAAATAAATCAAACCTGATGTTCTCATATCTGCTTGAAGAAGTCTGCTGCCCTCTGGAGTTCATTATCCATCAAACTTACCTTCAATGAACTCTGTCTTTCGTACGAATTTGGAATATTACACATAAACATTTAAAAGCTCCACAAGAGGAAATTTCTCAAAAACATAGTGAAATATTATGGAAATATGATGAGATATATAGTTTTGCATTTGTAATGGCATTTAAAATGAATAACTGTTTCATTATATTTGGCATTTAGATCTAATCTAAATATAATCTGTATTAATAAGTATTCATAAATTCTGCTGACCACTATTTTCACCATCCAATATTCATGCTAAATACCATAGGTTTAATGATTTAGATATTAGTGATTGTTGGTAATTATTACTGTAACCTTGCTCTATTTGCTGACATCCAGCGGCGAATTACATCACAGAAAACACAATGAATACAATTTCAATGCTAATGCAATAACTATCCAAGGAGAAAACATTTACAAATGCAAAAACAGAATTCTGATTCCCAAGAATATCAAACCTACACTACAGTACCCCAGGCATGGTGAAATGCCGCGATTCCATGACAAATGTCTTCCGTCAGTACAATTGGCATTGACTGATCTGTAGATAAATCTTCATAATTATAACCAGGGGGCGCTGTTGCAAATACAGGATGATAATGCAAAGTGATTTGTATTGAATCTGATCCATACTGTCCTCCCTTTGGGATAGGGTTATAATTTTAGAAGGAAAGGACTCACCATTTCCTTGTGGTTTGGGTAAAAGGCTTGATCGATGAGAGGAAACTTGTCTGCGCCATGTCGGTCCCTTAACTTGATAAGCTGTGCAAACTTTTAATTTAAATGAGAAGAAAAATTAACTGATGTATATCAAAGTGAAAATGAATGTTAACAGAAGAAGGAAAACTTTTTTTAAATTCCATTATTTTATTTAATGTATAATAAATAAACCTTTCAAAGCTGTCAAAGCTATCATGTTTTATTTGAGAATTATCTGAGATCTGTCCATACATTACATCACATCTATATATGGTTAAATACAAATATATTCAACAAAACTTAATAGCACTTTCTTTTAGGGTCAAAAATGATAATAAATATTTCAGAAAAACATAGGTCCTACATATGTCCCTATCAGATTCGAACCCAAGACCTTCCCATTACCATTTGGCTCTACCAACACACCCTTGGATTTTCCTATTGATTTTTTTTAGGATCACATATGGAAAACTTTGTGATGTTTTTTCGCAATTGCCTTCACTGCTAAGAGGTTGACTTCTTTCCATGACTGAATACCCAGGTTAAATAATAATCTTGATGTTAGATGATCGCTTTAGTACGTGTTCTTAATATAGGCCTTGCATGCCAATACAGGATATGAGGACCAATGCTTAAGTCTTATTAATTGTTAATATGATTAGTTAACTGTCAGATTACCGTTATATGTTATCTATTGTTACTATTTTGTTATCTATTGTTACTATTTTGTAGTTCAATCGTGACGTTGGTTAGACGGAGTATCATATGTATCGTTACGTTGTTAGACGGCGTATCATATGTATCGTACCGTTGGTTGGATGTACATATTGTAGGCGTTGGATTATGCTACCATTTTATATTGAAAGTAATAAAGATAACGCATTGAGAAAATCGCGAGACTGTGATGTGATGTTCCATTATTGAATGGAAGAAATACAGTTCATATACACACCATAAACCTACACAGTGAACTGTAATAGGCGGTCAGCAAAGTAGCATATACAAAATTAAATTTAAAGTGCAGTCTTGGTAATGCTTTAAGATTCCTGTGTTTCTTTTTTTTAAATAAAAAATTGCAGGAATCTTAAACATTCTCCTCTCATATCGAATGGGAGTGTCCTGAAATGGTAGCCCAAAACTGGCGTTTGCTTGATCCATCTACCTGGGAAAGACCGTTTGTTAAAAATACACTTATTTGTAGAAGCAAATGTGCATAATTAGGGTGTACACGAATCACGTCAAGTGTGACTATACAAGAAAGGGTATTTATTATACTACATTATTCTGGCTGAACCCTGTTGACATCACATCTAGTTTATGTACGAGGCTTGATTTAGTGAGGTGACCTTTATAAATCCACACAATGCATGCCCATTTCCTATCCTACAAGAAACAGAATGCATTTTTTCAGTTCGAAAATGTGCATATTCCAAATATTTGAGGTGGTGATCGAATTTAGTTATCACTAAATATGTTAAGTAAATATTTACTTTCAAATTCCGTGCGAACCCAAAGGAAAAGTTACTGCATTGGACAACAATACCTAAATTTAGCCTACCGTGTAGAATATTCTAGGCTCTGTTCATGTGCTTAACGGCGTGTGTGGGGGCGTGGCAACTCAGATGCGACAAAGTTTTCCATATGGTCCTTGCAGCTGCTTTGTGGTTGCTGTTAGTTACACATTCCCAGTTTCTCATCTCAGGTCAAAGTTCAAAATCAAGTCAGCTAACCGAAGTAGTATATTTTATTAATACGGGTGTAATTCACACAAGGGTTTGATTCCTTGAAAGCTATTAGCGGTGAATGATTTGTGAATGTTCACCAATTAATTCCAGTGTATGCACTCATTCTCAAACACCTTTGGCATTTTACCATCGATTTTGTTAATGATTATAAAATGTTGGGCACATTATCACTCTCACTATTCATTCAACAACATAGAAAAGGCACTTTGGGGTTATTCGCCCACGTACAGCGACATACATGGGAATTCACTGGCAAGTCTTCACTAATTTTTAAGAGAATTGAAGTTGTCAAATTAATAAGGATTCTACTATAATAAAAAAATATCAAATTGAGGATTATATTATCTTACCACCCAAGGCTTGTCCATGAAATTGTAGATTCCTTCCCAGGAGTTGACGCTACCGACATTGCCAAACTGAAAGCCGATAATTAGATTGCGCCATTCCTCCTGTACTTCCATCCCGCGACCGTGCTGTCTGATAAGTACAAAGTCTGGCTTGAAAGACCTATTTCAAAATATTTTAACAAGGAAAAAAAAAAAACATTTTCAGAATATACATCTGAGGATGACTCAATAAATGTTGAAACATTTGAATCATGGCTGCACTCTTGCCCTCTATAAATATGTTCTAAATAAAATGATTTTTTTTTTAATTAAAAAGAGAAAGATGAAGATAGGAAGGATGTTTGAGAGTTAGAAAATTAAAAGGAAGTTGCAGAAAACAAAATGAAAGATAGAAAAAGATGGATATGGATTAGACATGAAGATATAGAGGAAGAAAAATGAATTGTTATAGATTTCAATGAGAATATTTCTAGAAGCCAATGTTGAGATCTGTCCATACCTCACAACTTTTTGTCCTTGTCGAACTCCTTTGAAGTCAATAGACGTTCCTGTTTCAGTGCAAGATGCGAGATTGATTTCAGCAAATTCACACTATAAATCAAAAAAGAAAAAAAAAAGGATTTTACCGATTGAATAAATAAATTGCTAAATTATGCAGCGTTGTTTTCAGTTGGTAATCAATTTAAGCATTTTCATAGTAAGTCACTAAATCAGAAAAAAATGTTTCCGTCTGGAAGATTGATTTTAAGTTAAGCCATTGATAATTAGTTACTTATAATCGTTTTTACTTCAGCTTTTCCCTTTCAGCTGATTTATTTGACTTACATTAAACATATATATTATGCAAAATGGGAATAAAGAGGATTAAATTTTGAAGTTATTTATCACACATGCTTTCAACTGCAGTCGATGTCAGCTTCAATGGTTGTGTGTGAGGAAAAAATTATTAATACCTTTTAGAATATATGACTCCGTAGCATTATTAAATTGGCAATTACCTGACCCAGTAATTCTAAAGCAATATTAATAATTATTAATTTATTTATTACACTTCATAAATTATTACTCGTCAAATATTGAACAACCAGGGATTGTGAAATTTGTGATCACCTAACTACAGGCAATATAATATATTTAAAATCAACTTTACTCTTGAAGTGCTACTCATATTACATTTGTATGTACACACAATACTTAATAAGGATTTTCAAGGTCCCTTATACTGAGGCTTTGGAACAACCATTGCCAACATAAGGCAGTTAGCTCAGTTGGCAGATTGTCACATAAATTGTACTCAAATGACAATGGCTCAATTCCTCCAGCAATCTTTATTTTCTTTCAACCATTCATTTAATGAAATTTATTGGGCAATTTATTTCAAGTTCCTAGTATAATTTTTAATTATCAATTTAAAAAATGATGGTTATTAATAAATTATATACTAACTTGTTCCACTCGGATATCAAATTCACCATGAATCTTTTTACCTCGGAAATATTTAGCCCTGTGAAAGATGAAGACAACAATAGTATCAATATCAACAACAGAAGACACAATGCCATCACCATAACAATAGCAGCAGCAATAGCATCAACATCAGGAGCAAAAAAAAATAGAATCAGCAACAATAATAACAATAGCAACAACAGATACAACACTACCACACAACAACAGTAGCAGCAACAGCAACAGCATCAGGTAAGAACAGCATTAACAACAACAGAAGCAGCCACAACAAGGCCTAGTATCAACGAAGGCACAGCTAAAACAACAGCACTATAAGCACATCAACACCAAACACAACAGAATTGGCAACAACAGCAGTAACAACGGAAACACCAACAAATTTCAACAGCAGTAACAATATGGCAGCACCAACAACAGCAACAGCAACAACAACAATAGCAAAGAAAATGGCAAAAGCAGAAGCAACAGCAGCAGCAACAACAATGGCAACAGCAGCAACAATGGCAACAGTAGTAGCAACAACAGCAGCAGCAGCAACAACAGTAGCAACAACAACAATAGCAGCAGCAACAATGGCAACAACAACAGCAGTAGCAACAATAGTAGCAACAACAACAATAGCAGCAGCAGCAACAATGGCAACAACAGCAGTGGCAACAATAGCACCAACAACAATTATAGCAGCAGCAACAACAACAATGGCAATTCAGCAGCAACAACAGCAGCAGCAACAACAATGGCAACAGCAGCAGCAATAATAGCAGCAGCAGCAACAACAATGGCAACAGCAGCAACAACAGCAGCAGCAATAGTAGCAACAACAACAATAGCAGCAGCAGCAACAACAGCAGCAGCAGCAGCAGCAACAATAGTAGCAACAACAACAATAGCAGCAACAACAATGGCAACAACAGTAGCAGCAGCAACAATGGCAACAACAGTAGCAGCAGCAACAATGGCAGCAACAACAATAGCAGCGACAGCAACAACAGAAGCAGCAGCAGCAACAATGGCAACAGTAGCAACAACAGCAGCAACAACAATGGTAACAGCAGCAACAACAGCAGCAGCAGCAACAATAGGAGGAGCAACAACAACAATAGCAGCAGCAGCAACAATAGCACCAACAACAGTAGCAGCAGCAGCAGCAACAGCAATAACAACAGTAGCGGCAACAGCAGCAACAGCAATAACAACAGTAGCAGCAGCAGCAACAGCAATAACAACAGTAGCAGCAGCAGCAACAGCAATAACAACAGTAGCTACAACAGTCAAAACAGTAAAAGAAGCACAACAATAATATAAATATTAATGAATAAATCAAATCAAATCAAATGTCAGTAAAAATTATTTCGGAATTCCAATAACATTTCCTAATTTTAAAAATGATATGGCCATTATTCTGGTCTAGCTAATACATTTATAATTTCAATCCAAAGATTATAATTAGCTGTCAGGGAACAAGATACTGAAATTCAACACTGTCAACAAGTTATTATCCTTACAATTGCTTAAGTAAGAAAACATACCCATCACGTTATGACACAAAGATGCAAGTAATTTACAAAAACCCCCTGAGCAAATTCTTGTTACTACATTAATATAAATACAAGATTTATTGCCTGCTATTATTGTCACAAGAAGGAACTGATAAATCTGTCAGAAATAAACGAAAATGCAGGCAACACGTTAGTGCGATCAATAGACCATATGTTCATGTCAATGGTTCCTGAGTCAACATTTTTAAAAACGAATGTCAAGCTGAGATTTTCAATAAATTCTGATGGCAAAGACATATGATTACATGAACTTGACTTTTTTAATAGAGGATGCAGGACAAAAAAAAACTTATAACAAGACCCTGCAAAGAGCAATTACAATTATACTAGAGAGGTGAGCTTGTTGATGACATTTTTTGAAGTCTTAAGGTTAAAGGATGAAGGGAAAAAAGTAGATGAGAAAAAATTTCAGAGGATCAATGTTCTGATGATGAAAGAGCGCAAGTGGGAGGTAGTGCGAACAAAAGTAGTAGAACTGTGTACACCCTCAAAAGAAGTAACGAATACAAAATGGAAAGAGCAGAGACACAGTGGTGTTGGGTGAGCATTTGAATTGAGTAAGTGAGAGATTTATCTCCAATAAGCCTGCATGCTTTTGAGAACAGTGACCAGCCCAGTTATGGGAGCAATACTCCAGCTTTTAGCAGATTTGAGACATACAGAGCCGTAACAGGCGCTCATGATCGAAGAATTTTTGGGAACAGAAGAGAAAACCAAACTTCTGAGAGGCACGTTTTGCAATATCTACAATGTGACTATCATGACAGTTGCAGATTCTAATATCTAATGTGTTTTAAATACCTTTTAATTTACTTCCACGAATCAACAATCTTTGATTGATTAGGGGATAAACTGACTTGTTCAAGCACACCCATCAATATGAGTAGAGAAGGAAAAAGTTGAACCTTGTAGAAAGGTAACACTGAGAAAGAGTTCAGCCAAATTTAAATGACTTTTTCAGTTTTTATACATTTTGTTGTTTAATATTGCCTTCCTATTTGAATTCACCAAAAATTTCACAAACATGCAGAAAATGCTATAATGCCTTGATAAATAAGCTTCAGTAATTTGCTTAGGCTCAACTTTTTGGATTTAAACTTCAGTTTATGCTTACCAAGTGGTATGTTGATCATCTATCACTAATAAAACTTTCTCTTTGCCTCTATCCGAGCGACCAGTCAGAGAACTCAGGAACCCCACCCCAATATCCCTCCGGAGTGGTCCAGCAGGTTGAGCTCCGGTTGCCTTCTGTTCCCTATCTCGCTGTTCCTTTTCCTTTTCTCGTAGTTGTTGCTCTTTTTCCCGATTATCCTCACCTCCTAGGTTCTGAAAATATCCATTTGGAATGATAGTCGCACTGGTGTCAGAAAATCTTCTCCGTAGAAAATTCATGATGCTCCTGGAGAAGAGAGAAATGACTAAATTTAAACAATGATTTTTATCAAATATCTTTAAACCTTTATTTTTACAAATATATAAATTCTCAGCTTTCTGCTGGGACTTGGGTAAAGAAAATCCATTTCCCTTTAAATAGATTTACTTCCATAGCTAATGAACTTAAAGGATAAAATACAACATTTAAATTGCTCAATTTGCCTAAATATTATTAATAAGTTAATGGTTTTAAATTGAAAATTATAATATTTATAATGAATAATGATAATAATTATAAAATTAACAGATGCATTAATAATAATATATTTCCAATGTCTTTGCAGACTCTTCAACTAGCCAGTAATGAATTGAAAGTAAAAATTCCATCATTTCTTTGGTCTGTTCTATTGCAATTTGATAAATTATGATCATTTTTTAAAATGATATTTAAATTATAATTGGGGGTTTTCCATATACTGCAGAGGGTATTCCTATGTGAAGGGATGTTTTTATTTGCCATAGGAAGCTTTCGCCGTGACCCCAGGATGGATTCACTCTTCCATGAATGCCCTATGTTTTCTGCCCAAATTTAGATTTGGGTCAAACTGCATCTTAGATACATTCCCTCACAAAACATAAAATTAAATTGTTATTATTCTATTGGAATCTGTGCCAGGTTAGAAATACAAAGAAAGAAAACTCCTTCCCTTTGAATGAAAATAAACTGTTACAACACATGTAAAAAGTCTGTTTTTTTCAACCTAGATAATCGATGATGCCATTAATATATCTTCAAACATAACATTATAATATTTCACGGAGACGTTGTTTATGTTTTAAGCAATGAACAGTGCAGAAATTTGACATTTAAATGACAAGGTCCAAACAATAATCATTTATATCAATATTTTATTGCACCAATTTCAATAAGTCATAAGTTACTGTTCAGAATCTTTGGGATGACAAGCAATGACTATTTTGTAGAGCAAAGACAACAGACAGTACATAACAAGTTTAGAGGTTAAATACCCTATTTTAATTGAACAATTTAAAAATCTGAAAAATATATTGTGGTGTATGTATTTTGAAATATTTAGCTTGGCTTTGGACGGTTGAAATTAGTTAACTCTTTCAATACTGACCACAGCCTCCATTGCATGATCTTACAGTATTAGATATGTAAAATTATACTAACGGTGTAGAATGCTATCAGATATGTTTACTTCATATCCATAGTGAATAAGTATGCAGCAGCATCCTTAATATTAGTACACCTAACCCACATTATTGTTAGCTAATATCATCAAGTTACTCTGCTTTCAAACTTGATAATCTCCAAGGAGGAAGCTGCAGATTATTTTAGTAATGACAAACACTAGGTATAATTAGACTAATTCAGTCTATGGATAATTAGTTTTGAGATCTGCATAGGATGCGGTCCAACGACTAAATGTGGTGCTATAATCAAGTCTACTACAGATTAACTACAGTACAAAGGCTGTCTGATCTCATTGAATGTTTTAAGGCAGGTTGCTATGTCTTGCTTATAAATTTTGTTCCAGCGGGGGATTTATGTTCCTGATAAGATTTCAAGATCCCCACAAGAGGTGTTCACATCTAAATTAGCCTCACTATGTTTGGAGCAAATTGTAAGAATATACACCTCTAGAAGCATCCCAGAAAAGGTACTTCTACATTTTAATAACGCTTTTTCAAAGCAGTGTACCCACCAGAATGATTGGCTTCTTCCCCGTTGTAAGTCCCACCCAACCCTGCTACCCTCACTGTGAACTGCCCCTATGTCAATTATAAAGAAGGAAGTGAGATACTATATACCATACCATTATTTTATCCTATTTCAGTTCTCATTACAATAAATGCAAGTCTACTTATTACAAATAAACAAAATATTAATATGAAAAAAAAGGAAAAAGTAATCAAACATAATTGATACAGAAATTAAAAGGAACATCAATGATAAAAACAACAATTATCAGCCAATTTGTTGAGTAATTTAGGATCATTCGTTAAAAGCATCATAAAGCCGTCCGTCTTACCATGAAGGTGTTGCAGTTTAATGTGCTGTAACTCAGCAATTACACGTAGGAATATCTATCTTATATCTCCATGCTCATATTAACACTTATAGTAGAATTAGAGCAAAACACATGAACCACAGATTATATATGTACTTGCAAACTGTAAAAGCTGGGATATTATAGTGTAAATTTTTTTTTTTTTTTTTTGTAATTGCGCTGGTGGCAAGTTGTGCTTTAACAAGAATACTGTACTATAAATTTCGTTGCATTATTGAATATAATCTAGTAACTAGTTCATATTTATCTTAACTCCCTTATTTCAATTATCCCTAACTTTTCAATATGTACCATCCAGTCAAAAGAGAGAATGAATACAAAAATATGAATTACATATTTGGGGATATGTCTGGATTTAAACAGACAGTAATTTAAACTATTCCGATAATCAAAATATATTTTTATAATTATATTCTGTAAGCTTTTTTGAATATAAATTTAGATTTAAACTGTAAAGCCTGTTTGTTATAATCTTATGAACTTAATTCAACTTTTATTATATTGTATTTTCTTCCATGGTTTAATCATTTGAAAGCTTAGGAGATAATTTATTTTTTTTATCTTTAACACTTATGTCGGTCTGTGAATTTTCATTCATTCATAATCTAATGATGGATGTTGCTTTCTGAATGTTATATTTATATGTCAATAAAATTAAACAAAAAACAAACAGATAATAAACTACAATATAGTCAGTAAATCATGACTCAATGTATACATTACCTCATTTCCTATATCTTTAATTAGTTACCACATTTAACAAAGATGACATTCAGCAGGGTTTCTCAATTTTTACCCCCTACTCCAAATTGATAATCGGATTCGTAACTATATTAAGAGGGGCATAATCGGTCTCAACAGCTGTTCTAAGCCAATTTAAAAAAAATAGAAAAAAATTGGTGGCACTTCAAATTAAACAATTGTAGTGGCGGACCAGGGAATTCAAATAGAGGGGCCAGGGAGGGATTTTCACAGGTGGAGGAGGAAGGCCACCTCATCCTCACCATAGTTGGGGCTGAGGTAAGAACATTTATGATTATAGCACCTAGATGGCCAGAAATGGTACTCTCAAACTTATAATATAATGAATATAATTTCCTTTTCCCCCATTTTTTTATAATTTTGAAAAAATAGGGGGGTTGGGCTGGGCACCGGCCTTGAATAAACCATTGAACACAGTAATCAATAAATATTCCTCTAAGTACTGAATATTATTGAGGGTCCTGCTGCCCGTTTTTTTCTTCAAAATTAAGTTTGAAAATATTCTAATTATTATTTTTAGGTCTATTTATGGGCCCCAGTGCTTTGCACTGGCTGCACTGCCCGTAGCTATGCCAATGCTGGAATAGAAAGCCACGAACCTCCAATCCGAAGATCCATTCAATGTCAACCAATTAAAAAAAGAACCCTTGGCTTGAATAATCAGCTCATATCAACCATATACGTTGTATGAAATCAATCCGATAATAAATTTTTAAAAAGAACAGTTATATTATAGTAAACACTGCCCTCTATTGATCAAATCTATTAGCTAGTGAAATCTTTGTTCTAAATTTATTATTCAAGACATGAAATGGAGGGGTAAAGGTCGCTAGTTCTGAATCATTTTCACTTGAAGGTATTTTCTCGATTATAATTATACGACTGAGGCTTGGCGTGTGCTATCACATTTTTTTCTGTCCGACTCAACAATATTCAGTTAGGCTTTGATACTGTATGATTGTTTCGTACGCTGATAAAATAAACTGAAATACATCTCTGTTGGATAATCAGACAATATATGTTGCTGCATAAAGTTTAATCAGACATTGTCAGTTCAGCCTGACAGATAAAAATCATATTTTTGTCTGTCAGTCTTTTATCATCTGACTGTAAAACAAGCGCCATGAGCGTAATTTTTCTCGAGAATTGTGCGGTATATACAATTTTATTATTACTGTAATATTATTATTATCAACACAACTGACCATGTTTAACCAAACTCTGACAAGAGTATAGTTAACCTATTCAACAGAGATTATAAAACATAAATTATACCTTATAATATACTAATTGTTATTATACATTTCTAAGTTGCAGATTCCATAGTTCATAAATGTATAGGTGTGCAATACACAGTATTACCACTCAGTGGTTCACATGCTTAAATAGAGTTTTGCCTACAGTTGCAAACGTATTCAGCATTATAGCATTATCCAACCAGTCCCCATTTAACTCCTGGATGGAGAGAAGCAATGCAGATGAAGTGCTCTGCTCAAAGACACAAACAAGTAACCATTTTCAGACTTGCAACCCAGACTTCTTGACTGGTAACCAAGCACTATGCCGCTGCGCCACCTACGATACTTCAGAAGCAAGCATACGGCGCAAGACAGTGTAACCGAACATTGTTGACTTGAATAATTGGCAAATCCATGGCTAATCAAATAAAATTATATTACCACAAATGTCTTTCACTCTCAGTCTGTACAAAGTTTTTTTTAAATGCAGTGAGGTGGTACAGTACTAGCAAATACAAATACAGAAATTACAAAAGTTGGAATAATATAATTAATACAATAATTCCAGATGACAGAAACTACTTTGCTCTAGTAATCTAGCAGTTGAATGGTCTGAAAGACAGGTTACTCTCATTCATCAGCAGAGAAAAGATGAATTATTAGGCAAGGACTTAAGGGGTTGTCACAAGAGAGATGTAAGGCACAGTATAATCAAGTAGCTAATAACATAGTAAAATCAATTTCAAAAATTTACTTGAGGTTAAAATATACAGTTGAACTTGCTTAAGTCGAATCCAAAATGCCATTGAAAAATTGTTCGACTTAAGTAGAATTCGACTTACAGATTGTTAATTAATGGAAAACACAACAATTTGGCATGTAGAATAAGAATGACTTAGAAATTATTCAAGTAATTATGTATTTTTTAAAATGTTTTATATTTTTAATGTTACCATATTTTACTTGTATTCAACGTATATTTGGATGTATCAATATTGTAGATTTATCGTAATTCAGTTTATTTGTGATAAGTAAAGTTTCTTGAATATCTTCATAAATATATCAAAAAGGGCAAATATTAACAAAGACAACCACTTAGATTATGAAGAAATCAATATGTATTCTGTATAAGAAATTTAGATTTTTCTTGGAAAATTCTGTTTACCAATGAGTACAAGTTATATGAACCCAAAGAGCTTTAGCTTACTGAACACTGACAGAAATTATAGTTACCTTATTATTACAGCAAGTGCATTGAGGTGACAAGCAATGTAATGGAACTGGGCCTCTCAATTTAATGCATCAATACAAATAGAGTAAATATAATAGATTTTTTTTTCTCAGTAATGAACTGTCTAATTAGATAGCCTCTAATAGAAATCCTTTAGCAATTAGGAATAAATTATTAGCTCATTAGTTTTATTGATTTGGAGTTATAAATCAATTTTGCAAATTCTTCATTACCAGGGGTAATTTTAAAATGATTGCTTGATGAAGAGAAGATTAAATAGAGGAAATAATCATATTTACATAATAAAAGAGAATCAATATTGTAATACTATTACTATAATAATCATAATAACATTATATTATATTAAAATATCATTTGAAGGTTTGCATGGCAAAGTAATAATATATATTAATGCCTATGGTACAAAACATAGATAGCTCTGAAAAGTACTGTTGTTGGTTGAGAATGTCTCGACATTTCATTTTATATATTGTTTTATTTTATAATAATGATTACAATAATAACAATAACAATAATAACAATAATAATAACAATAATAAAATAAACACATTTAAGCACCATATTACAATAATGATCTTTCTGTTCTAAAAATGTACTCAATTGTATAAAGAAATTTATTATTCATATGGTTTAAAGTTCAATAAGTACTTCCTAGGTTCTTTGTATCAAATATATGAAATTTCAAACGCTAGGAACGTACAAGAAGATGATATTGACTAAGTATTTGTAATCATTGCACAAGGTTCACCATAAGGTAGCTTTTATCTTTCACTTTCCACCTATATATGGATGACTTAACCATGCATCAAATGTCACAAATAAATATGATACCAATAATTATAAAGTAAAATGTCATAGCTGTTTCGGAAAACTTTATGAGTATCTTGAATAAATTTGTAAAATGCATTACAGTGTAATAGTAGTGTATTACCAATTAATTTGAATAAATGCCCCACTTTGAATGAATATTCCCCCCTCCCCATCCCTCCAGAGCCTCATTTGGAATAAATGCCCTGGGTTGTTTATTTCTTCTTCGAATAAACGCACCACCCACCCCCCCTCTTTGAATGGTTGAAATTAAAACTAATAGAATTAACATCATTCTCAACACATTATATTAATATTGTACTTAGTAGAATTATATTTGTTTCTAATAAATGCCTCCCTCGAACAACCACCCCCTCAAAAACCCCTCTAACAATAAAAATCTTGGGCATTTATTCAGATCAATACAGCACATGATTATTATTATTACTATTATTAGGCAAAAATGACAATGAAGTTGATAATACTATTACAATGATGATGATAATGATAAGGATGATGTTAAACATCCATATACAAACTCATGAAAATATATAACTTACCTGATATCTCAGTATGGTATAAAAAAAATACTGATTTGTACTGACAAGATATTTTTTATTCTATCCAGGGCTGAGAATCAATCCGTTTTTTAATCCAACAACAAACTTATCCTATTGGATGGTAATTAAGTCCGACAATTTTGTTAATACGCTAGGTGAATTTCAGTGCAAATGCATAAATCTCGCGAACACAGATCTTTAGACTTCCCTCCTGCATAAATCACACCAATCGAAAACCTTTTAGGTAAAGATGCAAACAAGTTAAGGAGATAAAGAGTGTGTTTTATATTTCAGGAAGAAAGCAAGATGATCAAAGCAAATGAAATACTTTTAGCTCCAAGAAGTTGCTGGTTAAATTTGAATGTATGATGAAAAAACTATGAAATGATCAACACGATGTGAATGGAAACAGGGTTATGGAACAAGTTATTTTTGGATCTGAAATAGTCCCTACCGCTTAAGATGTTCAACACAGCAATGTGCTGATTATTCCACTGCAATACCTGCTGTCTGAAAGATAAAAGGATAAACCTCAGTTAGTTTAGAATAACAATGTCCATATTATAAGGCACATTATAAAAATGTACCATGCTCTACATAATCTATTTTTAAATGAGGTACCTGTACTCAGTACGATAAAAGCTTGTAATAATCCTGTGGCATTGTCAATCAATGTTGAAAATTTAAGCATATTAAAAGTCTCATTATTCCATGAACTGACATTATTTTTCCCAGGCTCACATTTATTTTACATTACAGGATATTACTATCATCATAACTACAGCATATCTGTTGTCATGATAATAGTGGGTAAATATTGATTTTATTTGTAAAATTTTTACCCACAAGGAAGCTTGTAGAAATTAATAACAGCAATTATTCATATTGAGAATGTTGCACTCGATTTTGAGTGAAGATGAGCTTTGAGGATGTCGATAATAATTATATTTTAAAGACATTTATTCATTTATGACATTTTCTCTGTATTTGTATGACAATTAACAAGGTAAAACTGTTACAGTATGCTTCAAAAATTGATTATACTAATTTCTTTTGAATAAATTATATATTATATTTCTGAAAGCATTTTATGCTTCAGTTCAGTTCAGTTTTGTTCCTCCCACATCCCAGAGGCAGGCTTCTAGCATCAAAGCATATGCTGGGTCCGAAGGAATTCCTTGACTGGGTTAGCTTCTTAGCTTGTAAAGGATGACACAGGATGGGATTACTTATTTTAAATCCATGGGTCACAGTTACATTTCCTTTATTCATCTGACCTGAATTTATTTCAATGAATAAACAGAGATGATGTTTCTTCATACAGGCATTGAAGAGAAATGAATAAAACTCATAATTTCAACTTTTGTTTATCCTAAACCAAAGAATAAAACAGCAACAAGACTCAACAGAAGCACTTTTTAAAAAACATGAAATTCTTCTACAAATAAAACTCTGCTTAAATTACCAAATTAATAAAAATATCTCATTAATATTAAGTGTTCTTTTGATAAAAAAAAAACACATCATCTCACGTCCCTCCCCTCCCCAACACACACTACAAATGCTGACGCACACCAAAACCATGATGAATAGAGAAGAGGAACACAAAAGTCATACTTAACTTTATTAAAAGTAGTAATGTTCTATTCTTTGGTACCTTATATTTTTAATGAAATAATAGGGATAACAATAAGAGTCAAAAGTTGAGTAATACACAATGTAATCATTCTCTAAAGTACATCAAGTAAGCTCTAAAATCTGACAGACTTTCAAAAGACACCCATTAAATAATTAAGATGGAAATTAGGTTAGAATAAGGCATTTAATTATCTGTCAATCTTTTTTCAATGAATATTATCAGTGTAAAAGTCATTTTCACTATTCATCCAATCATACTAAAGCAGTCTCTATATATTTTACCATTATAACAAAAAAACATATGTTACAAATCTGTTTAATAGGATCAGAGCATGGGGCAGGCAGGTGAACAAGGGGAGGGGCAGTCAAGGATATTCTAGGGCATGCCCGGACCAGGGGATAGTTTACACGAGGTGAGATGGTGATATAGAGAGGTACAACCAAAGGTAGTTTGGGGCATGCTTGTACTAGAGTACAGGCCCACAGGAGGTGAGCAGTTAATAGGTAGATACCGTACAGACCAGTTCATGCTAAGACCCAGGTACAAGGCACATAAGATAGATAGGGAGGTACAGTCCAGGGCACGGTAAGACCAGGGTATAAGGCACACAAGAAGTGAGCATGTGATGGGGAGGTGGTGCAGTCAAAGGTCGTCTGGGGAATATTAGGACCAGAGCATGAGGCACACAAGTGAACAGGGGAAAAAGAGAAGCAGTTGTAGGAGTCTGGGCCATGCTAGGACCAGAGCATGAGGGGTGGGGGCACTCAGGAGGTAGCAGTCAAGGGAAATGCTGACAAATGTAGAGTTCTGGTAAGCTGGAAACATAATACGAACCCTATTAATATTCCCATAATCTCTCTCTATATCTTAACTTCTCTCCATCACATTACCATTCTCAGTATCTAACTTTTTGCAGGTTGAGTAAATTTAATTGGATATCATAAAAATTTGAATTTCAGTTGAAATAATGATATACTATTCAATTCAACAAATCACATTAACTCGGCCACAAATATTATTATATTAAATTTTGATGCACGTTACTTGGCAACCTTAAATTAATCTGCTTTTTCAGCCAAATTGATTCCCAGATATCGATCGAAAAAAAAAAAACTCTGACTATCCTCTTTCAAGTGTTATTTTTGTCAATAAGACTTGCTATAGAAGTCATCTTTGATTAATGGAAGGAGATAATACAAGATTCTTGATAATTGGGAAAATTGGTTACATAAATAAATGGAAACACTGTGAATAAATATGCTATCAAATGTATTAGAAGGATCTAAATGTTTTGAGCAGAATTAAATGAACTTAAACGACATCAGGGATGCCAGGAAAGAAACATTTAGTCATATTCCCAGTTATGGACTTTGACCACAAAGGTATCCAACAATTGAATCTATAATTAAAACTAAACTTAATAATAATCCTTCATAGCACTTGTAAAATACACAGTACAGTAATACTATCACAATTTTCACAGGACAGGGACAGATCAAGAGAAAAATCTGGGTAGGGAGTTGTGGGAGAGGGGGTGGTGTTTAAAGGGAACAGTTAACTGTTCCTTGGTGTTTGGCGAGTTGATTGACTGAGGGGTTAAGTCAGGGGCACTATAACCTTCAGCTCTAATATCGGCGCTGGTTCGAACGGCTCACTCGCCAATGGTTCCGGTGGTGGAACAAGTCTTCTCGGATAAGGACTTTAAACCGTAGGCCCAGTGTTCGCATTTGGCTCGCGTGCACTTTAAAGAACCCAGTACATCATTCAAAAAGAGTAGGGGGTTACCCTGGTGTACTGGCCCGTTAAGTCCCCTGTTGTTAAATGGATATGCCACGTAGGACAGTGATTAAGTTCACTTATTGGCATATCCTTGGCGCTCGTGCCTAAGAAATGAAATGTTTCTAATTCAAAAAGTAGCTTGTTTTGAAGTGCCATGCTACCTTTCTGCCCTTGGGAAAAACTGATGAAACTGATTAGCAATATGGATACATATAAAAGCAATGTAGAACTGTAAATATGCCTTGTAATTACTACTGTAAAATCTGAAAAAAGAACATTTAAAAACTAAATTTAATTGTTGTTGTAGTGCTCATCTTGAAACAACTTCCAAAAAGACAAATCAAAACAATCCAGCTTCTCCTGATTTACTTAAAAGTATTTTTGTGGCACTAAAATTTGTCTTTAACTATCTGTTCGGAAGTTTACATGACTTTACACAGACCAGTACAGTCACTAATTAAGACCATAGATTGTTTGAGAAACTCAGCAAGAAGATAGAAAAAGGAGCTGCTGCAGACATAAACTTTCTTAAAAATTGCAGAAATTTTGGCATTTTTTCCCTAAATTTATTGCATTGAAAGAAAATATATTTTCTGCTCTAATTTCCAATTGAAAACAAATAACTTACATATAGATAGTAAGCAATTGAAATATTTGAGTTCTACTACGCCTATTATTAGCTTTCCACAAGCATTTAGTATATAGAGTACTAGAATTTTCTTATAGTAACAAGCTTTTACAAATTTCTACAGCATTATGTATCTTAAAGGGCAAAATACTCAGGAATGAGAAGGTTACGCTAATTCATTCATAAGAAGACGACTTTACCAACTGAAGCACGATAGATTTAACTACTTCATTCTGGCAAAGCTCATCAATTTCACTGCTATTTTTAGTCGAGCTTAATAACAACATCTTAATGTATTGCTGTATCGATCATAGAATACCGTTCAGCTCTCAACAAGTTCCACTTACATGTGAGGAGAGAAAGAAAACAGATAAATATTTTGATCCACCCACATTAGTTTCTCTTTCGTGGCAAATGTTCGTCTTGGAATGCCATATGTTATTATTAGGTAGAAAATGCATTGGCTCAGTATGGATTCAAACACTAGGCACTTGGTGGTTCTTAAAGGAAACTTGCATTTTGAAGATTTCTGCTATTGCTAATCATCATCGTTAGTAATAATCACCATTGTTCATCATCTTCATTTGTCACAATCATCATTTGTCATCCATATCATCATTTGACGTCATCATCAGATTCTGTTGGAGAATTCAACCATTCTCTATCCAGACAAACTATTTTGTATCTTCATATTTGCCAAATAGATATTAATATTATTATCATTACTATAATCATTATCATCATTATTTTTATTATCATCATTGTCATCAGAGATCAGAGCAGATTCCTTCATTTTGTTTAAAGGAAATTATAGCATGTGCAGAAATACATCGCAGAAAAAACATTAAAACACAACAACTAAACGATATACTTTAAAATGTTTTTGTAAGTACAATAGATTAAATTACTTCAGCTCATTCAATATGTTTAAATTTCACATTTACTGGCTGCTATTAAAACTTCTTATAAAGTATGGTACAAAAGAATTATGATAACGGTTAGCTTTGTTTTTATCTTCTCTATCATTATCATCATTATCTATAGGCCTTTTCAAAATGTAGATTCAAAATAAATGTAAACTTGAGAAAATACCGCTTTAAAAATAGGCAGTAATAAATATTGAAACTCGACTCCTAAACATTATCAATGTTTACACGACGACCCAAACAACTGTATACAGGACACAGTTACAGCAAATTTGATACATAAATCACTCGCTTACAAGTTTTTATTAATTTGTTGGTCACGGCCACCTTGCAACAGAATCATAATGATCCCTCCGCTATTGAAAACCAATTAAAAGGGGCTACTTATCAGGATGTTGGATATAACACTTTCTTGTACATTAGACGAGTCTTTTGAATACCTTATTTCACAAACTTATTTTTTTAAAGATCA